TCCGTGCACAGTCTCCGATTTAACTCTCATGAGAACACTCCAAGGTAGACGTCATTATTCTCCGTCTTTCCAAAGACGAGAGAACTGAAGCCTGATGAGAAGACGAGCTTTGGTGAGCGAGAGACGGAGCCAAAACCCCACTCCGACCACTCACTGTGCTGCCCCAGATGGGAGCCATTCATCAGGACATTGGCATGACAACCAGAAAGTTTAGACACCTTCCCAAATATCCCAGCTTCCCTCCAGGGCCCAGTGTCCATGACCTTAAAAGGTATTACAAAAAGGGTTCTTAGCCACCAAATCAGAAGACAGGAGGCTTAGTTCCCTGTCGACCACTTAGTGGATATGGGAACCTCTTTGTCACTTTCCAGACCCCAGTTTCCCCATCTGGTCAGTGACTGTCGCCTAAGGGCCCGAATGTGGCTAAAGCAACAAGTGTCCAATAGAACTATAATATGAGTCACATGTAATTTTCTAGTAGCTGCATTCAAAAGGTAAAAAAGAAAAAAATCCAGATTTTATCTAACCCAGTATATCTAAAATATCATTTCAACATGGAATCAATATAAAGTTATTAGTGGGTTACTTCATATTCTTTTCTTACTAAGTCTTTGGAATCCAGTGTCTGTTTCACACTTAAAGCACATCTCAATTACGATCGGTCACATTTCAAGAGCTCAACAGCCACGTGGCTAGTGGTTACCATACTGAACAGGGGAGGTCTAGAATCTTTTTCAAGCCACAGCCCATGTTAGGGGGAAGAGACACATCAGCTTTCTCCCTCGCCTCTGGGAAGGCTGTCCCGATCCTGGACTCTGAGCTGACAAGTTCCAGGTAGGCCCCGGAGAAGGAGCCTGAGGTCACAGCGGAGAGAAACCCTGGGCCTGCTGCGCCTAGGAGGCTGGTGGCTACAGGGTGAGCGTCCTGCTCCTCTGTGACCCGATTACTCACCAAAGCCCTCAGGAGGGAAACAACCTCATTTTTCCTCTTAACCCAAAGATTTCCTTAATTGGAAATTCAGCCTGAGCTTAAAGAAGAGGAGCCAGGAAGCACATGACATGCTCCTCAGACACACGAGGAATCCAAATGTCCCCTGCACTCCCATCCTGGTGGCACTGTGGCCAGATACCACCTTCTCACTCCAGAGACTGGTTCCCAGCTTGAGCCTGGTTGCCTTCTCAGAAGGAGCTCAACACCTTCACATTCAAGGGCAGGAGGCCAGGGAAAGCAAAGGGGCAGAAGGGGCAAGATTGTGCCCCCAACAGGTGAGAGCTGGGGGAAGTCCCTCCTTGTCCCCAAGCTTCCATTTCCTCACCTTTAAAATCAAACACCACCAGGAGGAAAGAGAGTCCAGGGCTCAGAGTGGTGAAGCAACTTGGGCAGGGCCACACAGCTCTTCAGTAGAAGCACCAGAATTCCAGCTCATGGCTGTTCAAATCAAGAGCCTACGCTCTCACCTAGTCTGAGCCCTGCTGTCCCAGGGTGGCCCTGGACAGTCCTTGCCAATGCCTGTCGTAACTGTGCACACTTAGCATGATAATTTTAAATGTTCCATTGGGAAGAAGAGACAGATCTTCCCTACAGAAGAATTCCACGTGACGTATGTCGATACTCCTTGCCATAGAACCAATTCTGGAACCTTCTCCTTCTCGAGTATGGGTTGAACATAATGTATCCCAAAGAACAGAGTATGGAAAAGGGGAAATGGTAGCCTGCAGCCCAGAACCCTGGCAGACGCCACCTTAACCAAGTGATGGAGGTTAACATCTTCTGGGCTAAGTCATGTCGAGATCGTGTGCTCCTGATATGATGTGACAAGAAGGGCACTTCTGTGCTCTTCCCCAAACCTGTCACCTCGGTCTAGTTATGAGGAAAACATCGAACAGTCCAAATTGAGGGACAGTCTCAAAATACCTTCAAGCAGTACTGCTCGAAACTGTCATGGTCATAGAAAATAGGAGACCGCAAAACTGTCGTGGACCAGAGGACACTGGTCCATGCAATATGGGATCCTGGAACAGAACAAGGACAGTAGTGGAAAGACTAGTAAAAATTCAAACAGTCTGAAGTTTAGTTAATGGTAACGTACAAGTCGGCTTTGACAAATGAATCTTGGACATGTAAGAAGTTAACATTAGGGGAACATGGACAGAAGGTATGTGGGAACTTTCTGAATTATCTTTGCAACCTTGGTGTGAATCTAAAATTATTCCAACATGTAAGTTTTATTTTTTAAAAGTGCCCCCCTTGAACTCAGAAAAGTGTCCAGATTTGGAAAACAAATGATACGATCACCTGGTCATAAGGCTGGCCCTGCCCCCAACCAAGAAGTCCTAAGAACACTGCCCACACCTTCTTTCCTTCTTAGCTGGGCTAACTGCTCCCACGGTCACAGCAATCTAAAGTTTACAAAGTTTACAGGTACCAAGATGTGCTGGCTAGAGCTTTAGAATGAGAAAGCTGGGGGTTGAAGCCCTCGTTACCCCACCTGCTTGCCGGGTGGTCCTGGGTGTATTACATTCCTTCTCTGTGTCTCCATTTCCACATCTGTCAAATGAATTCATTGAATGGCAACAATGACAAATAAAGCTCATGGAGCCTATACTGGGTGTCCAGCACTGTAGTGGATCCTGCCATGTGCCACCCAGCTTCCCATTCAGGGCTTATTTCTATACCCTCCTCCCACCCGCCCCAGCTGCTCAGAGTGCTGCCGGCTGTCTGTCCTGCCCAGGGATTGCCCCTGGCTGAAGAGAACCATCCAGCCCCTGGTCACACCCCTTTCCGGAGGGCAGCCTGCAACCAGCCTAAAAGAGGTGAAGATCCAGCTCCCTTCACCTCAACTTGGGACAACCCTGAAGGTCATTTCCACTGCAGCACCCCTATGTGGATGGGCAAACACCTTTGCGGAGACTGCCCCAACTTCCTCTGCCCAACCCGCCTCCTTCCCTTCCCCACAAGTGTTAACCCTTAGCGTGCCCAGGAATTCCCCACACACTCCGTCTCCCAGTCCACTTCCCAGGGAGCTCATCCCTCAGGAGGACTGTGAACCACCCCTGCACCTGCGCCTGTCCAGGTTTCTCAACCCTCAGACCAGCCCATTTTCATAGGTGACACAATTGCGGTTGAAGAAGAAAACTGATTTGGCCAAGAACATACGACTAAGAAGTGGTGGTGCCATGGAGGGGAAACTGAAGCTCAGACAGGCAACTGACCTGCCAGGTCTCTGAGCCAAAAGATGGTGGAGCCGAGATCACAACCTGGGTGTGCTTACTGCTGAAAACCACAGTGCCACAGCCTCCAGCCCAGGTCATTTAGAGCCACCAGCAGGACTGCTACATATAATAGGGTGACTGTCCTGCCACACCCACTACTGTCCCTGCAGCTCATTCCACGTCGGCCAAAAGGAAATAATAATGGTACCTATCTCGTCAGGATCTTCTAAAGACAGAAAGAGTTTATGTGCATAACTCTTTGTGCATCAGAACAATGACTGGCACATAGGGACCCTCTATAAGGAGCAGAGTAAAAAAAGTCACATCACAGGATAAAGTTGCTGTGAGATAGTCTAAGATGTCCATGTGGCTGAGCGACCGTCAGCCTGTGCCAGGGGCTGGGCCTGTCAACTCTCTAGGTGGCTCGGGCTTGGCCTGAGGTCTGAAGGAGGAGTAGGAATTAAAGGGGCAAGAGGAAGGAACAGCAGTCCAGGAAGATGGACCAGCAGGGACTGGAGCCCTCTGGCAGGAGAACTGAAGGCGACCGATAAAAAACCAGCGTGACCAGCACAGAGAAGACGTCCAGGTCAAAGACGGTAGAACAAGAGGCTGAGTAGGAACATAGGAACTGAATTATGAAGGGCCACTTACTACCTGGGTGGTCTGGGACAAGTCGCCCTACCTCTCAGAGCCTTGTGTGGCTCATCTGTAAAGTGGACATAGAAATAGTATCGATCTTATAAAGTGCTTGAGGAGACTGAATGAATCCATTTGTAAACCACTTAAAATAGTGCCATGTACACAGTAGGTGCTACAGATGTTTGAAGACAACATTAAAACTTTATTTCTAAAGTACAATGAGAAGACATAAAAGGGTATGAATACGGATGAAAGGCTGGGTGCTGATGGATGGAAGGGCAGATGAATGAATGCAGGGCTGGTAGGTGGGAGTGGCTGAGTAAACAGAAGTGTGGATGGATTGCTGGGCAGAAGTGTCTGGGTGATGGAGGTGCTTGGATGGATGGATGGATGGATGGATGGATGAGTGGAAGTAGTTGAATACATGGGTGGATATTGGGATGGGTGGGAAGCGGTTGAATAAATGTGAGTGGATAAGAGGATGGATAGGTGGTTGAAGGGTTTCTGGACGTTTGAATGGGTGTCTGGGGGGTTGGGTGGCTGGATGTGTGGGTGACTGGCCGGCTGGGTAGGTCAAGGGATGGAAAGTTGGGTAGGGGTGGGAGAAGAAATAATTGAGCAGACAGGTCATTGGTCAGATGCACGTTAGGTTGAGTCAGATGGACAGAGGGGCTGAGGGAATGGAGGAGTTTTTCGAGTGTGTAGTAGAGACGATGGATGAATGGAGGGGTGGATGAACAGATGGATGGCCAGCTGGTTGGATGGGTAGCTGGGTGATCCAGTGGGTGGTTGGGTGGATGGATACCTGACTGGATGGTTCAGTGGATACAGAGTGGAGTGGGTCAGTGGGTAGGGTGAATCCTTTGGTGAAGAGTTGGTTGTTCTGGTGGATATCAGATAGTTTCAGTGGAGGGAAGGAGAAAGCGCATGGAGGGATTGGTAAGTGAGTGGATGGGAGTAGTAGCTGAGTGGACGGATGGATGATTGGGTGGAGAGCAGGTGACACCAGATCCCAAAGCGCCTCCAATTGAAGCCCTGGCGGTAAAAGAAGCCGAAACAGGTTTCGAGAAAGGGCCTCCTAGGTGGCCGGATCCCAGCACCCCTCTCCTCAGTGGGGCCTATCCCATCTGTGCCACCCCAGGGTCCTACCTGGAGGCAGCTATCTCTGCCTTCTGGCGCGCGATGGCGGCAGCACGCTGGGCGCCCTCCATACTGTGCTCCACCTTCTGTCGGACTTTGTTGCTCTTGAGCGGCAGCACGCGGCGCTTGGTGCCTTTGACCAGAACATTGTGGCGGTACTTGCCCTCCTCGCGGCGGCCATCTGGCAGTGTGGTGCAGCCGTAGCCGTGGCGAAGGTTGTCCAGCCACTCGCCCTCGTACCGGAGGCCACTGGAGCGCTCACTGACGCCGAAGCCCGAGCGCTTGTCGTTCTTCCACTCGCCCATGTAGGTCTCTGTGGTGGTGGCATCGATGTCAGCCTCGAAGGGCGCTGCCTCATCGGCGCCCTCGCCCAGGCTGGTGGTGGAAGCTGCGTCGCTGGCACCCGAGCTTAGGTCGCTCTTGAGGAAGCTGACACGGCTACGCTGGCTGCCCAGGGACGTGCGGGACTCGGCCCGCCGCAGCTTGCCGAGCAGCGCGCCCCGCTGGAACAGGCCGCTGCCCTTGGACGCCCGCGCGGCCACATCGGCGTTGGCCAGCAGGCTGAGTGCGAAGCCACCGCGTGGGATGGCAGGCGAGGGCAGTGGCGGGCCATCTGAAATCGGCGAGGTGGGCGAGTCTGGGGCCATTGTGCCATTGCTGTGCTCGCTGCGCAGGGACGAGAGCGATGTGCGTAGCGGCGAGCGCACCACCACGGCCATCCCGTAGGGCACACTCTGGCGAACACCGTAGCCGTGGCGCATGCCGTTGGTGAACTGGCCTTGGTAAGTCCCTGCGGGCGAGGAGAGAGCATGTCAGTGGAGCAGCACGATGGGGCTCCTGCATGTGCATAGCCACGCGGGTGAGCCAGGAGTGGGCAAGGCCCTCGGAGGGGCCAGGAGTTTCAGGATATGAAAACAGGCAAGGCTCTGAGGGTGCGAGGTTATGTGAGTGTACAAGAACATGGGTGGACAGACTACAAGGAGTTTGTGCAGTGGTGTGTTTCTGTTGGTGCAAACATGGCAAGGTCACAAGTGTGCAAGACAGGTTGTGTGAGAGCATCAATATGTAGAGTTGTGTATGCAGGTGAGGCCCTGGGAGTGTGTGAGGTTAAACAAATGTGCAAGGACACTAATGGACAAGTCAGAAGGGGTTTGCATGATGGTGTATTTCTGTTGGTGAGAACACATGAGGTCTTTAGTGTGCAAAATAGTGCAAGGTTGAGGTTGTCAGACAATTTTAAATGTGAAGTGGTATGAATAGGTAAGAGCTCTGTGAGTGTGAATTTCAATGTGTGCAGATTTTAAATTACACAGAAGAGAATGAAGGTGCAAGACTAGGAAGCAGGATACCAAGTGGACAGTAGTGTGAATATTTGCATTTGTGGGGAGTGCTAGGTGGCGGGAACATGAAGAATCCTAGATGTGCAAGGCAGTGTGTGCACAGAGGACACTGAGAGCATGTGTGCACATCACAATGAGCTGCAACACAGCTCATGAGCCTTTTTTGTCTTGCGGGTACAAGGACAGGCAAAGTTGAGTGAGGATGCAAGACTGTTAGGGGTCAGAGTGCAAAGTTGTGTCGCAGGCAAGGCTGTCAGTTTGTTGGGTTAAACAGGTGTGCGTGATTGTCCAGGTATGCAGATGATATGCATGTCCAAGCTCATGAATGAGTAAGACAGTGAGTTTGCACAGTCGTGTGTGAATGTTGGAAAGTATGGATCTGTGTTGGAGAGCATGTGTGTGTATATGTGTGCAGGGCCATGTGTATAGACTCTATTGTTAAAGATTTTATTTATTTAATTTAGAGAAAGGAGAAGGGAGGGAGAGAAGGACAGTAACATCAGTGTGCGAGAGATACATGATCAGTTGCTTCTCACATGCCCCTAGTGGGGTACCTGGCCTGCAACCCAGGCCTGTGCCCTGACCGGGGACCGAACCAGTGACCTTTCAGTTTGTAGGCAGGAGCTCAATAAACACCAGCCAGGGTTAGAAGACTTTTATGGGCATACATGTCAGTGTCTTTTGACTATATGAGATCATAAGTGTGCAGTGCAGTGTGTCTACAGTGGGGTGAGTACCTAAGGCCCCAAAGGGCTGACACGATGGGTGTGTAAGAGGTTCTGAATGTTCCAGCCACCTGAGTACAAAGCACAATATGGGGAGACACCCTGGGATAAGTGAGTGTGTGAGGCCGTGGGCATTAGTGAAACTGAGACCATGTAAGAAGAGCCCGTGCAAGCAGGATGGTGGCATGTACAAGGAGACCTTGTGTGTCCGTGAGTGAGCTCATGAACTCCTGGGAACAAGAGGGAGCACAGAGCAGCAGTTAGGAGCACAGACACCAGAAGCCAGACCCCTGGGTCCAAATCCTGCCTGTGCCATTGTTAGCGGTGTCACCTCTGGCAAGTGACAACCTCCCTGTGCCTCAGTTTCCTCATCTGTCAGACAGTAATTACCTCTTCAGGGTTGTTTGAGGTTTAAATGAGCTAAGATCTCTGAAAAACTCAGAAGGAAAACATCTGTGTAATAATGCGATTCTACAAAATTGTGCTTGTGGGTGAGATCCCGTGAGCTGCAGGGACAAGTCGACACAAAGCTGACAAAGTATCTTCAGGCTCCACCCCCATCCTCTTGTGCTGTGCTCCCCAGGGCCCCGTCCACAACCGTCTCCCCATCCTCCCTGGGCGACTGAATTATTTGGTTTTGGTAACTGTCATCTATGTCCTGCTGACTCCCCCCAACACGCACACAAATATATATCCTCAGGCTCTTCCCCTCCCCTCCAATAGCTGCACGTGGCACCTGGGAGGTGGATGCCCCCCAGATGTTCCACAGCCGCTGCCAACTTACCGTCTCCCCTCACCCCACTCCCCACACACCTCTTCCACCTTCTCGGTTGTTGTTCCCCCAACAGCACCACTGACAGCCAGGTCTCTGTCTTCATCTTCAGGCCTCCAGTGTATAGAAGGGTACCTGGCAATGTTCCCTAAATTCAGTGTGGAGAGGGGGGATTCAGAGTCTTTGTTTTAAACACATGCTTGTCAACCAGAAACTTCCAAATGGCCTTCTTCTCAACGAATCCCTCTGCCCAGGCTGGCTACGGAACGGAAACAGCCCGCCAGGTAAGGGAATCGTAAGGTCAGCGGCCAGGTATGCCCCCACTGGGGCCTTTGCGCAGGCCGTTCTCTCTGTCTGATCCCTTTTCCTCCACATAGCCATCAAGCCTTTGCTCGGTGAGCCCTGTCCTGACCACCCTCTTCAAAACTGCAATCTGCCTGCACCCCCCAAACACCCAGACACCCCCAGTTTATTTTTACTTGTTTTCTATAGCATTGATCACCTTCTCTATTTATTGCTTTTCTCTTCCTGCTGGAATGGCAGCTCTGTGAAGGCAGGGACCTCTCCTGTTTTGCTCTCCGATGTGTCCCCAGCACCTAGAGCTGTGCCTGGCATGGAGAGGTGCTCCACAGACATTTGCTGACTGATTGGCTGAACCAGACCAGAAATCCCGTGTCATTGTCTGACCTTGCACAACTCTCTTCCCCTTTTCAGGCCTCCACGGCCCACCTAGTCAATGACATGTTGGACATGAAGCTCGCTGAGATTTGAGACTGTGGGGCTTCTAGAAATTGGGGCCCTGTGACTCTGGAGGGGAAGGACAGCATGTCCACGTGACTCCACACTGCCTGGTCCCTCCCAGCACAGGCTGTTCCAGCTCAGGCCCCCGCTCCTGCCTTGCCCCAGCCTTTCACCACGAAGAGCCCCCTCAAGGACCAAGTGCAGTGTCAAGGGCTCACGAAAACCTTTCAGTGGTCCTGTGAGGTGGGCCCCGTGATGATGTCTGTTTATAGAAGAGGAGGTCGGTGGTCTGAGAGCTAAGAAAGCGGGATTCATACCCAAGTCTTTCTGACACCTGGAGTGCATGCTCTGAGCTTGTGGTGCTCGATCCTGACTGCCACTCTAGAAGCTCTGAAAGTGAAATACAGATTTCCTAGGCCACAGCACCAGAAATTCTGCTTTAACTCATTAGGGGGGTCAGGGGTCCCTGGTGCTCTATTCAGCAGCCAGGAGCAGCCAGAGTATCAGGGCTTAAAACTCCCATCCATGTCCAACTGTGTGCCTTCCACTTGTCTCAGCAGAAAGAAAAAAAGGAAGGGAAACAAGAGTAGAGCAGAAAAGATGGTAAATCGGGGGAAGAGAAGACATCTAAACTCTGGGCTGGACATGAAATCAGCCCACCTACCTTTAGCTTAGATTTGGTGTGAGACGGACTGACGTGGTCCCTTTAAGCCTAGGAAAAACAGACTGCCACAGCAGCCACTCTGGGCCACCAGCTGGGGAGGAAACAGGCTATATTAGGAAACTTATAAGCAAGTGGCAAGAGGCACAGACACCCAGGGGAGGCTGGGAGTGATGGGGCTCTGGGAAAGGGGAAAAGCCAAGTGCTGGGATCATCCTTAGCCGGACTCTCTCTGAGACAGGACAGTGATCCCTGGGGACAGGAGGAACTCATTTGAAGAGGGAGAGGAGGAGGGCCTGGCCTGCTCACAGTTTTCTGGCTGGCAGAGGCCCTCTGTGGGAGGAAGTGCCTCCTGACCCCCGTTGGGCTGGCCTCCTCATTTGGCCTTGTAAACATCACAGGGCTTCCCTCCACCTTCAGAGCAAGGAGCGAGATTCCCAGCAGCCTCCAAGGCCTGGCACGGGCTGCCACTGCCCATCTCTCCTGATGCATCCCCAACAGCTCTCCCATCACACTCACCTTCCCACTTCAGGGCCTTTGCACCTGCTTCCCTTCCTCTTCTTCGTGTACTCTTCCCCTTCCCCCACCGCGGGCCAACTTTGTTGATACTGCAAGCCTTGGCTTACATGTGACTTCACCCAGGAGAGTTTGAACTCTACTACCTGAATACTGCCACATGGTGTCATGTGACTCCGTACTTCTTCTTGGTACTTTTCCCAATTGCAATTTGATAATTAGGATGATTGTCTGTTCACCTTAAACCTTTCCTACCAGACTTTGTTTTCCAAGAGGGAGGGAGCCATGTCTAGGTATCCCTGCTGTGATCCCAGCATCGAGCACCATTCCCCGGCCCCAAAAAGCCTTCAGTCAACACCTAATGACTCTGTACCTTCTCCTGTTGTTCTCCCAGGGGTAGGAACCACATCAGCTCCTTTTCACATGACTCAGTACATGGTAAGCACTCCATGTACTGACTGGCAGTGACTTCCAAGTACGTTCAGGTCTTGGGACTCAGCAGCTCAAACTCTGGCAGTTGTCAGGGTCCTTGTAAAAGGCTAGTGAGAACCATAACTATGGTAAATACAGTCCAGTTCCTCAGACCAGGCTCCTGAATTTAGTAAAACCTGAGTATTGCCTTCTACCTGCAGGGTGCCCTTCTGGTTCAATGTAGAATAACCTGAGTTTTAACCTTCACTCTGACACTGAATTGCTCTAAAAAGACAAATTATTTAACCCCACCGAGCCTCATTTTGATCTTCTGCATTGTAGGTAATGAGCTCCACTTCATATGCTGTTCATTCCCTTGAATTGAACAATTATTTGCTGTAGATCGTGTGATCTTGATGCTTGATGCTGGGGACTCAGTGGTGAATAAATAGACATGGCCCCCGCCTTCAGAGGCGTGGAGTCTAGTGCCAGGGACAGACTAGATTTAATCAACCATCACAAAAAGAAACATTAGGCAGCCACGGCAGCGGTCCAGAGAGAGAATGGGCCGGGTCTGGGGTGGTAGTAAAGTGCAGAGGGTCAGCCCATCAAAGATTAACTGAG